GTCAAGTACATTCGCGTGGTTTTTTTCTTCGACTTGGAGGGTTTTTCACACAAAAAATTGACGTTTCCTCGTAAAACTTATTTCATATATTCTATCATTTTTGGTTTCATCGATATTCCATTTCGTCGGAGGGAAAAATTGTTCTGTAGCTCATCATTAGTAGATAAATTTTCCCAACAAATAGTTTGTTTGTTAGCTCGAAAGGCAAATGGACAAGTTGTAATAAACAATGCAAGTGTGGCACTTATTTTTATTTCCGTAAGTTCATTAATCATTTTCTAACTAAAATACAAAATATTGCAATTTCATTCCCCACTCATTATGGAGATTAATGGATATCTAAAAACGAAAATATTTATTGCATATATTTCTAAATAATTCATTATATTAAAGCATGTTGGATGGGCTTAAACGAAAAAGCAAAGAAGATAAGTGTTCGTGAATATATTAAAATGTATGATCAAATAAAGTTTGACCATTTCTAAGATGACGTTTGTCTCTTTTTTATTTTCTCAAAACTCTTTTTTTATACTCATTTTCAATCACATTCACGCAATAAAACGTATATTTGGGCTACATTAAAACCTCGAAATGCATTTTCAATTTCTACAAGTGTGGGTCCTCACCTGAAAAATGGTGAAAAGTGGTTAGTTGCGTACTGCATTAGTTGACTAATGGATTATATTATATGACTATACGGTGAAAATGGTGACAAATACGGATTAAGTTATATGACTATTTATAGATTGATCTATAAAGTTGTCAAAATGAGGTTTAGGAATACATTTGATGCGACTTTTGAATCTTCTAGAAGAATTTTATGAGAAAGTTATCTCAGGGTTCGTTTCATTGTAAGGGTGAAAAATGGGTGGAAAGAAAATGATTTTCAGGAAAAATAATTGTTTAGAGATTGTTTTGCAGGGAATTGTTAATTAAGTGTGTTTGATTGATATAATTTTCCACCCGGAAAATTTTAAATTTTCTATTCGTTTGGCTTTATTTTACATGAAAATTATCCATTAAAGTGATAATTTTTTCCACAATTGGTTATAAAATCATTTTTTATTAAAGTTTAGTGTTCGTTTGGCTTTATTTTACATGAAAATTGTCCATTAAATAGA